TCATAAATGTAGTGGTTTATGAAAACTCTCTTTGTGTTAATCTGGAAGTACCAAAACTACTTTTGACCATGAGATGTTGGTTGCAGAAAAAGTTTCAATCTAAATTATAAACGTGCAATTAAAACGGCCTAATCGTTGCAAAACACTCTAAAATATATCTTTTTTTTCTGGTGTTGGGCGTAATAATCGTATATTATTTTTCTCCAGGCAGCTGGCGTTTGAAGGGCGCGATGTGTTTGAAAAAGATAAAACCAAAATAATAATCTTGACCTGATGTCTCAATCAGCTGTGGTCTGTGGTAGTTATCTTGAGACTATTAAGAAAATACACACGGAAAATTGTCGACAAATCGAAAGGGTATCGTTTGGAATGACCTTTTGCACAACATGAGATATGAGTAACTCTTGTGCCATCGGACTGTCACCGTTGGCTTACTACCGAGGGGACAAAATTTTCCAAAAGTAGCTTGGCTAAACAGTAGTCAAAACAAGAGTTGAGGGCGCTCCGATTTTTATCTTGCTTTCGTTTTATAGACAAATCTATCCGTGATTGAAATAACAAACAAAGGATTGTCACCTGAAAATTCAGAAGGTACATGATACACTGAAAAGAAGAAGAAAACAGAAATCACATTGACGCACGCACAGCTTACGCTCAGTAACCGTGCGAGTTTCAAATCTTCTGTCCCAAGCCCAAGATACAGCTATAAACTGAATCTCTTTACTGGCATTATAAAGTTCCTGTAACTTCAATTTCGGCGATCCCTTGGTGCTAAAGCACGATTACAATGGAATCCCGATTGCTCGAACCCTCAGTTTTTCGAACCTTCCGATTACTCGAAGCAAAAGTCGTTTCCCCTCCACAGTCAAACATTAATTTTACCCCCCGATTTCTCGAACTATCCGATTTTCCGAACCAATTTTCGTTTCCCTTGGAGTTTCGAAAAATTCGGATTCCACTGTACAGCCTAGCTCTTGTTGATGATTTCAGCCGTCAGCATAAAAATTAACAATTGACCCTTTTAAGTTTTAGAGGTTTATGTCTGAGACGTTATTGTGCTCCACTGAAGAGAAGCCCGAAAAAAAAAATCCAATTAAAAGAAAGTGAAATTAGCGATTGTTTAGTTTATGGGGTAGACGAGGTGTCATATTTCCTCTTAAAAGTCGCAAGGCTCACCTTAAATTAAAACCGACCATAACCGCAACTCTTCTTTTATCTCTCATATTATCCTTCTCTTATCTTCGGCTACCACTGTAGCTAGCTAATTAAAGCTATTATGGAAAGGATATAGGTTTTGGTGCTATTTTATAGGAAACCACTCCGGCTTCAATTATGTTCCCATAAGATGACCATGCACCTGAAAACTGGGGCTTTTCCATGATAAGATTATCCTTAACGTTATTTGCTAACTGCTAAAAGCTTGAGAAATACCGGAGGGGGACAGAGAAATTATCAATACTTCTAGTCGATCTGTGCTACAAAAACACTGACGTGGTGGAGCCAATTTCCGGCTGATCATTGTGGGTTCGATATAATTTGGGTAAGAAATTTAGAATTTAGCTATGTTATCTTGATGTGAGTGGGCGAAAACTGTGTGCATCTACAGAAGGACAGAATCCACGGAAGTACCCGTAGTGTTTCCCTTTTAAATATGACTCTAAAATAGTGATGCTTCGCTTTTTTGAAAGCGCAATGCGAACTTGTGCCATATGTTACGCCTGCGTTTTGGAAATTTACTTCACTTATGTCAAGAGTATCAGTATCATATCACAAAAATTATCACAGTGTTGACCGAAATAGCATGTGTATACCCCATCTCCGCTCACAGGAGAGGCTGCACCTTGAAATGTTACGACCAGAGTCCCTTATCAAGAAAATTAGTTCCACTTGTTATCTACGGCATGTCAGCCGGTGGGAGAAATGAGCATGGTATAAAGGTTGCTTGCCATTTACAGCTGCAAACCGGTCAGTTTACGGCTTGCGTCCAAACATGTGTAGACTGGTAAATTAAGAAGGTCAGGGAATTGAATAATTTCAGGAATTTACCGTTTAGAGGAAGGAAAAGCGTTCTTTGGTTTATACATTCTAAGCGGAATTCACGGCATCTTTGATTAAGCTGAAATATGGTAAGCAACGTTATGCCCTTATCATGCAGGTCTTAGGCATACTATTAGCATTAATCTAAATGGATGAAAAATATGACAGGACTGAACTAGCTAAAGAAAGGCTTAATTTATTATTACATGCATTTCATGAGGCAATGTTTTAACTTTAATTAAGAGACAGACAGTCGTCAGCTACTTTGATGTGTCTCATCAAACAGCGTAGCATGCAAGAGGGCAAAAAATATTTGACAGAGGAAGAACAAGATCGAATGACAGAAAGAGGAACTTTTCGACGTTTACCAGGGATGACGTCTCTAAGTTTGGAGATTAAAAGAAAAAGTCAAACAAACATGTCTGGCGCGCCGTTTATGGCTGATTTTGCACATAAACATGAGATCCCGCCAATTTAAGGGGCAAGATCCTGTGGGGTCCCAGGAACGTCTAAATTACTAAACTGCACACTACGCCGCATCTGAGAAAATGCGCGGGAAAAAAGCCACAACAAACGCAAAACGCGTAACTCATTGCCTGAGATAGCTTGTTTCACTGAAATAACGAAAGTGTACATATTGGTGAATACGTAAACTTTAATTTGCAAAAGTTCTAGATTTTTATTTGGATTATAGAGGCGCATTAATTATACACAAGAAGTTGTTTTCGTAGAAAAAAAAGAAAAATGGGAAAAATGCAACACTGCATAATTTTGTATTGTTTCTTCGGAGAAGTCGTGTCAAAAACTCGTGCAACCTGTTTCATCACGATTTCCAAACACTCTAAAACAATAAAGGCACTCGGCCGAAGCGGCCTCGTACTTTCATCTGTTTTCTCGTGTTTGGAAATGGTGATGAAACACTCGCACTCGTTTTTGAAATAGTACTTCGGCAAGATTCATACAACACAAGCTTGCACAGGAGGTTGCCAGTCTCAAAAAATTATTTCTAAGAGGTACACTTGAACCAGCGAATCGCTTAGTTGACAAGCTTATTGCTTCCGACAGTTTAAAGGTGAGAGGTTATTCACGTAGTAGTTTAATACATAATATTTAATTTCTGGCGAGCAATTTTTAGATTTCATTAGCTGAGACATCGTTGAACAGCGTAACAACAGGTTGATAAATTACACTTTGAACTTCCCAGGTAAATTTTAAAAAAGCATAGAGATAAATGAATTTTAACTTACAGGGTCTGATATTTTTCACTATGCAACCCACAATAAATGGGCGATTAGGCTGAGGTGTTCTAGATTCAGGAGTAATGTTTACTCATGCGCAACAATTTTCCCGCCAAAAATAAGGAACGGGTTAACAACACGACAAGCTAAGAGAATGCACACAAGAAAACAAATGGTGCTTTTTTAACTTCGATTCCAATCAGAAGTTCGTTCGATTATATTTATAATGCTCGTTTGCGAAATCGATTTCGACTTCGTAAGTTCATATAGATTTACCGTGTAAGCATATACACTGCAAAACCAACAGGTTTATCTATAATCGAGTTCTGCGGATTACATACAAAGACCGTCAAGGCAGTTCCTGTTGAAAAGTTGAATTGGAAATTTTCTCTCAGTTACAAAATTGAAGTCTTGGAGATGGTGAACATTTATGTAGACCAGGATTGATAAAGAAAAATATATTCCTAAGTTGTTAAGTGATATAAATTCAATTTTAATTCAGTGTATGTATTAGCTTATTACTGCGAATGTGGGAGCACTTGATTTCTATGAAGTATAAAGTTTTCCCATTTCTTATTCAAGAAATAGACCAGGCATGCATTTCCAAGCTATATACTAATCTTGCCTGATTCGGTACGCCGATAAAGTCGATAAACGCTACTGACAAGCTTATGGACTGCCTGTTAATTGATTCGTTATCGTCGTGAGGTTAACATCTGAAGTTATTTTATACCTGCTGAACAACGTCACACAAGAGTAAGAATTGTTTACACAGAGCTAAACTGAGCTATTTGACTTACTGATCAACTGTAGTCTTCTGGTTATCTTACACTGTTTGTTCTCGATCTGTTTAAACGCCGAATACCGAATGAACGCCGGATTAGCCAAATGGAGTGAGCCCTCATGCAAGCGTTTATTCCAGGTGTAATATACGTATAATGGCAAGATATATGGCTGTCAAAACTAAGAAATGAAACCATTGCTTGATTAAAAAGCTCGAAACTGTAGTAGTCAAACAAATGCTGGGTACATAATGCCAAGTGTAAAATAACAGAAATAAACACAGTTCAACCGAGAAAACATGCAATAGCATTTGAAAGAGACAAAACAGTTTGGAGAGTTTATGCCTTACGCGCGTCAAATAAGATTCCCGCCAAAATAAGTAAATTGGAACTAACGTAGTCGCGCCATGGCCCAGTAGTTCGCAGTTAAAAGCAGTGGATATTCCCTTTTTTATTTCGGTCAATAGCTTTAATTTGTGTGAGCTTAAGTTTGCCTAACGATTATCGTGAGTATTCTTTGCTAAAACCGTAATTAAGAGGACGTCAGCCGTAACGAGCAACAAAACTAAGAACATTAACCTTAATTCATTCCAGAAACAAAATTGTCACGCATAGCTGGACAATCAAGTGATATGGTTGGTTAGCCGGTTTGCCCTTCATCAGAGCAAAGACTTTATTATGCCGACGGGCTAACACTCGAAATGTCAGCCTCTCATCCTCGCTATGGCGTTTAATCTAATTACCAACTTTAAGGCGATAAGCAGTGCTTTTTTTCAGGAAAATCTATCTTTTCAGTGTTTAAAATTCGTATCCCGCCGGATTCAATGTACTGTGAGAATTTTGGAAGATTTCGAAGAAGCCATTCGGGGATTTTTCATTCAAGCCATGATTTTAGCAGAGATGATAGTAAATCACTAATACATCATTGCTTATTACATTTAATAAGTTTGAAAGGACTGGTTGTAAAAGCGAATGCAAAAACGTACAGTATATTCAAAACACATCGGCACGCGCATGCAACGGGATAAAGGATTACCCTATGGAGCCACCTTAATGCTTAATAGAAGAGTGAAGATTGGTGTCTTTATGTGTACTCAATTTTTCTTCTTTCTTGTATGTTTTATGTTTTTTTAATCCCACCACCAAAATAACAATTCTGCGTATTAAATTCCTTTCTTACAGAGAGCCAGCATAACATATATCAGAAATCAAACTAAAAGCCAAGCTGTTTAGCTCATTTATACATTGGATCACATGAGCTGGATTTACGAAAGAAAAAGATGTTTTTTTTTGTCAGCAGAATAGTGTTGCGTGAGAAATCATACAGGCAGCTAACACATTCCAATAAAAAGTGTTATCGACTTCAGTCAATAATATTCCGTAAATTAAAGATATATGTCGTATTAAGGATAGCATGAAATTAATATCACGTTGAAGAAGAACATTTAAGGTCAGAGTAAATCAGCATATACAAGAGAGCTAGAGCAGATCATCCTCCCTTGGCACATGAAGTTCAGCCGTGAAAAGGCAAGTTCCATTCTTCGAAGACCGCGTTATTTTGTTGTTGGTTTTTTGTCCGTTTTTCCGAATGCGTGATCAGGCCAGAAACAAAGGACTAAAAATGGTTAACAAAAAAACCTATTTGATCTCAAGTGTTTTTCTAATTGCAGCACTCTCAACTAAAGACGGATTGATAACTTCGACGACTATAAAACCGACAGATAGTTCACAGGATTTCTACTGCGGGTAGTCGTTCATACAGCGTAGATCTCAAGACGACAAGCAAGCACCACTCTAAAATTGAACTAACTCGACATTTCTCACTGCTTTCGTAGATGGCTTTGAAGACGATGATGAAGTTTCTTCTTATGGCGATGTTGTCCTTCGTGTGTGAATGTCGCTATCCCAAGAATGGTTTGTTGCTTCCGATGAACTCTTGGGCCATCGCAAAGAAAGGCCGTAAGTTTCTTTAAATACACAAACGATAGTGTTGCTTTAAATAATAAAAAGGGAAACCTTTGAATCTACCAAAATGTCAGTTTAGTCAAAATTATAATCCAAGAATCTAGCCGGGAGCCAGCTCCAAGTTGAGGAAATCGCGAATTCTTTTATTTTTCGTTATTCCTTGAATCTGTGTAAGGCGTTTTTCATGTCATTTTCACCCTATATCTTGGGAATGAAATAGCAGAAATGGAATTTTCTCCACTTTTCAGGTAAAAATAAGCTTTAAAGCCACCTCAGTTACTCATCCAATGAGAGTGTCTACCTTTATAAATCTAATTTAGATTGCTCGTGAGTGGATAAAACCATACTTTGAGCATTTAAATGAACGCTGTATTGAGCAGCTCTTCTTTATAGTTCTGTTCATAGGGGTTTTAACGTTTTAAGGCTGTGCAGGAAATCCTATTGTGCGATTATTCAGGTCAAATTCACCGGTCACTACTGTTCGAATTTTCGATATTTTAAAAGTTTCGCTTTAAGGTCTTTTCAATTTTGGCGTAAAAGGCTTGATGCATGATTCAAGCCGGATAAAACACTGAAATGGAGGAACATTTTTAAAATACAGTTGTGGTTCAGCTGTATGTAGTTCAGTGTCTCAAAACACTGAATGGTTTTTGTTTTTCAAGTTTGTCCTGAGGGAGGAGGTGATAAAAATGCTGGCTGTCGACACTGGAAGAAGTTAGGCTTCTGTTTACCTGGCCAAAATTATTATCAATATGTGACGAAGACGTGTCCAGCCAGTTGTGAACTCTGTCAAGGTTTGTCAGAAACAGAAAAGTTTACAGTTCTTTACAGTTGTATTTCAGCTTCGTTACCTGTTTTGTATTCCACACGATAACATTCATTTGTTTGTTTGTGTGTTTATTTGTATGTGTTTGGCCTGATGGGTTGTGTCAGTTGTAAATGGGGATCGTTATGTCAGGGTTCAGTTCTACAAATTTCGCTAAATTTTGGTCTAACCGAGGAACTGATTTCTCGTGTATAGTCTATATATAAAGAAGTTCTGATATTAGGAGTATTTCTCTTCTTGAAAAAAGTGTGAGAATTTTACAATGGCTAGCCTTACATACGTATGTTTTGTCCTTGCCAGGGGACTCATCAGAGACCTTTCAGCTAACTCGTCAAACATCGCGTTTGCAGTCCCGCTAGCATAAAAATGATGGTGGTAATCTGGCCTTAAATCACATAAGGATTCCCAATTGCGTAATATGCCATTCAACTTCAAAAACGTGTGAGAATTTTACATTGGCTAGCCTTACATACGTTTGTTTCGTCCCTGCCAAGGGACTCATCAGAGACCCCTTAGCTAACTCGTCAAGCATCTCTTCTGGCATCAGTATTAATTTGTTTCTTTTAGTATACTTTTGGTCTCCGTTACGTTTGACAAGCTGATTAAGGTGAAACAAACAAACAAACAAACAAACAGCACACAAGCAAACAAACAACGATTGAAATTCAAAACTTGTTATGATTAACTTACAAAGAAAAGACGTAAAGTGATTCGATCCATTTTTTTTTCGCAGCTCGTCCTACTCCGCCGCCCAAACCTCACGTTGTTAAAGGTATATTCAAAACATTTATCTTGTTTGTCATTCCTGGCGGTCACAAAACTAAACAAATTCATTTTAATCGATAGTGAACGTCTATGAATGCCTTAAAGCCCATAATTCCAAGCGTACTTTGCACAGGGCCAGACCGCTGACCTGGGATAGCTCATTGGCTAGAGAGGCTCAAGATTGGGCTTTAGACCTTGCAACCAGGAAAATTATGGAGCATTCGCCAACCAACGACGACGGAGAAAATCTTTACGAGTCATCTGCCACTAGCTCGAAGCCAGCAACATGCGAGGAAGCAGTGGAGGCCTGGTAAGTTGAAAGCTAAAAGCTCTTCATCTTGCCGGGTTTATTTACAGTATTTACTTATGCATATTATGGGTATACACGTTGAATTAATGGTCATCCTCGAAAGGTGTGTTTCTTTGGGATCATCCGGTTCAGGATTAACGATTCAAGATCACTCGGAACAAAGCGCATCAAAGGAATCGAGGAATTCACCCTGGCTAAGTACTAACCGGTTCCTTTGGTGTACCATAATACAAGTGTTCTTGGATCAATGATCCTAGTCCATATCTTCCAAAGAAACCCACCCTGACATAAGAGATGTTGAACGTTTGAACTGCTGAAATGCAGATTAATTAACTGTGTGGCATTTCTGTCGTGGACGCATAGAAACTTAGAACCTGGCAAACCCCTTCCATCAGCGTTCATGAAGAATGGCAGAAATCACATTTTCTGGAAAGTCTGTTTTAGATATGATTTCATCGGATACAAGAATATTTACAGGAACTGGATATGCCCTGTCCTTAATTTACTGATGTGGGCAACGGAGATGTGTTGTTAGTCCTCCCTCAACCTCCCTACCCCCGCACCAAGTTTCTCCTCTCTAATTAGCCACCCCCACTTTTTTAAGCCCTCCTTCCCATGTAGTTTCTTAAAAGAACAGACTGTATTACACTGCATTGATACAGTGTCAGTCTAGCTAGCAGTACAGTAATTGTGAGTTTTTGAAGACACATTACTGCTTAAACAAAAACTAAGGAGAAAACGGAGAATTAAAATCGTAAAAATCTATGCTAATTAAGATCAGATATCCAGACAACGTCACGCTCATGATTTCTTTTGTTTAAACTTGATGAATTATTAATGAGTTTGAGAAGAAACTAAGAATTCTAGTGTATCCTAGCAGTATGCGGGAATTTGCCACAGTTAGACTTCATCATGATGACTTAGCTACCATTAGTTGCATGTGGCTTAGTTGCATAGAGTCCGACTGATAAGAAAAAAGTAACGGGTTTTTCTTAGTCTTGTTCAGAAGAGATCGAATTCGGAATTTTTTTAAAGCTTGAACCACTCACCCGCTGGCTATTTCCGGGGTTTTTATCAAGCTTAACATTTACGAGCATTTCTCAACTTTCTACACGATAATTCTAGGTAAATATTAGACTAATTTCATTTGTGATGATGCTTTCATCGAAGGATTGATTGCAGAGTCCTAGCCTACTTGTAGCCGTACCCACCCTCCGAGGAAAAACGTTTTTCTTTCGAGAGTAAGTGGGTACGGCTACACATAAGCTATGAATATTTTTTTGTCTAAAATATCATGCCAGGGCGAACTAGTCAAGAATATACAAAGTAAGATATACCGAAACATTCATTTTTCCGTATCAGATTGTGTGGAAGTCTACTAAGAAATTGGGCGTGGGGATTGCTTCTGTAAAGCATGGTTTCTGGACCACGACTTACATCGTGGCACGCTACTCGCCTCCAGGAAATTATGACGGGAGATTTAAACAACAAGTTGGAAAGAGCGTCATGGCTCTGAAATGAAACAGTGAGTGAAAATATAGGAAGCTTTCCATTCGATGAGAATTTTCGGAAATTTCCAGTGACGAATGGAACAACTTTTTTCCGGAATTTCCAGAAAAGAGCGAGATATATCGAAATTTTTGGAAATTTCCGTTCCATTTGATCTTTCCTCCTGGAATTTCGGAAATTTTCTGTTAAATGGTTCGCTTTTCGGAAATTCGAAAATTTTCGGATTTCCAGGAAATTTCTTTACCATTTGTTCCCGTTTCGAAATTTTTGGAATTTTTGGTTGAATGAAAAGCGTCCATAGGTAAAAAGTGACATTCATCTTTGGCTGATTTTGAAAGGATCAGCATAATTGATTGGGAAGGTATAAATCTCAAACGCAAACTTTTGAAGCGTGTTAGAAAATAGACTCCAGAGTAACTTCACTTGCAATCCCTGGCTTCCCAGATTTCCTTAAATGACTCTTACCAAAAGAAAACAAACTTGGGTGACAGGATTCTTTTTGGATTGAAACTGAAAGAGGCTTGGGAAGGGGAAGGAGAAGGTTGATATCGTATTAATTCTTATTTTTCTTGTCTCTGCAGAAGTATCTTTTATAATCCTATTCACCTGATCGAGCGACCAAACCATCACGCAGTTTTCGTATTACCCTAATAACCTATCGTAAGTTAACATTAACTTGGGGGAAGTACACGATTAATAAGTAACTTTTGCTCTTTCTGTGTCTTGCAGTGTTGTCTCTGATTTCATGTCTTACTCAGACTCTACCAGTAGTGCTAGTGAACGATAAACTTTTACGCTGAATAATAACTCTTTATTGGTTATGAATACTGTTGTATTTGACAATTCTAAATATATAACTGATATTTGTTTAAGAAATGATGGTTTTCCTATTAACGTATATTGACTGTAGATTCTTTAGACAACTGGTAAATATTACCAGATATATCATGGAACAATAATTTTACTGCTGTGGCTCGTGCATAATATGCAAAGCGTATTTACTGTACTTGCAATAAAGGAAACAAGATTGCAATGTACAACGTCTTGTATCCACTTATCTTTAAATCCCAAGTAATCCTTTCTTTCGATTATTCCGTCGGTCCTGAAAACAAGTACGATAGCCACTGGTTATCAAGTTGTATATTTTTTTAAAATCATCTTTTAATCAGCGGACCAGTGGAACAATGACTCACTGCGTCAGTCCGTCCATCCGTCAGTCAGCCAGTCAGTCTGTCTGCCAGTTAGTCAGTCAGTCAGTCTGTCTGACTGTCTGTCTGTCTGTCCGTCCGTCCGTCCTTCAAGGAGTGAGTGAGTGAGTGAGTGAGTGAGTGAGTCAGTCAGTCAGTCAGTCGGTCTATTGGTGACCATACATCAGTCAATCATCAGTCAGTCAGTTTGACAAGCAGGCAGGCAAGCAGTCTGTCTTGTTTTCTCTCCGTCTGTTTTTCCGTCTGTCTGTCTGTTTGCCTAGCTGTTTGTCTGTCTGTCGGTTAATCGGCGTGTCAATCTGTCTGTCTGTTAGTCAGTCAGTCAGCCAGTCGGCCAGTCAGTCAGAAAAATAATCAATCACACATAGTTCATGTCTTTGAAGGGCTGCACATCGATTCTCAGGTACTTCTAACTTTCCGGCTCATTTTTTCATTCATTTAAGCTGTCTGTTCTTGGACCAACTGACTGCTTTTGCTGTCAGCTCAGTATTTCCGTTCTAATAAATAAAGGCCAAAAAAGGACAAGAAAGTAAAACCTTCGTGTGTACATATCTCTGTTTTGGGGTTCCATCAAATCTCACGTAAAACGAATAAACCATATAACAAGCAAACAAAATTTATGGGGTATACACCTTTAACTCGATCGCTTCTCCCCAACGTTTTCTCTGAACATTCCTATAAAGTTTCCTCCTGGTCGATAACGTGCCACAATGAAGATCTGTTTTGAATATCCTGAACCTGTTGAAGCTTGCGCCACTCCTACCGCTTTGGTGGCTTTCCACACAACCTAGAAAGTCGAGAACAAAATTATTATAGCCTATGTACGTATCGACCTACCTTATGTTCAAAAACTGAATTAACTGTATGCATATTTTATTGGGTATGATTTATATAATTAATAAAATTAATATAATTTA